CTCTCTGATAGCAAATGTTAGGAACCCACTTATTGGCAAATGACTTGGGGCAAGTGAATTGTTACTGAGACCAAGTCTTTCTAGATCACTTGTGATAAAATTTGACTGATATACTTGTCCGCCGGTAAAGGACGCATATGCCATCGGGGTATTGGAAAGACCGCCTACAGAAACGGTGGTAACATTGTTTTCCTCGGCAAGGTGGGTGGCGATCAATGAGCATGATGATCCACAAAATCCATTCGTTAGGATAACATAGTCTTCCGCCTTCCATGGGAGTTGTTTTATTTTGAAAGAAGATTTTTTCGATTCAATGAAATGCGAAGTATAACTCTCTGATACTCCACCGCGAGTATATGTGTTATTTCCAATGAATGTCGTGGCATTCTTAAATGGTTTCTTTGTTTTCGGATCATCCCAAATGCCGGGGTACGTTATAAAATCTGAACTATTTGATTTTTGGATGCTCAATCGCATGAGTTCACTGACCCTAAAATCGGTGTCAAAAGAAGGGTCTGTTCGAGGGAAGAGAAGATTGTTAAAGTAATGTGCATCAATTATGTCACCACCACCGTTATTGGTCAGATCAAGAATAATCTAAAGAATAATCGATCAAACTGTAAATGCAAAATAAAAGGTGTGACGATGAATTGCAAAATTGTATGATGATACCTTTTTCACGCCTTTATCAATAAATTTTCGGAAGCCTGGCATAAGGTCGCTAAACCCCACTGAAGACATTGTCAATACGCCGATATTCTTTTCCTTCAAATGGTAGAAACTTACTGGATCTATATCAATTAGTAATTGAGCGTTATTTAATAATACTTTATCCTGATCAATTATTTTGCAGATGGTGTCTGTTGTTGAGGAGGTTGATCGTTTTTGCGTTTTTAATGTTGACGAAAATTTTCGGTAATATGGCTGTCGTGTATTAGAAAAGGCTGGTAAACAACTCTTGTTCCAGTATGTTTCGGGATCGGTTACAGACGCTATAGAACTATTTCTTCCACAGGCTGTCCATGCTCGTATAACAGTCTTTTTTGATCCGTTGCACTTTAATGTGTAAGAAATTTCATCGGTCGGCGGTAAATACTGGCGTCGACTAAAATAATTAGAGAATTCCGATGTCCCATCTGCTGAGAGAGAATTAAGCGCCATATTGAAACGGACTCCAATGTCTCGTACAACTCCAATTTCTTTATCAGCGCACATTTTTTTTACTTGATCATTTTGATAACCGAGATTGTTTGCAAAATAGGCTATTGATTCGATCACAAAAACACTAACCGGGTATTATGTGTTTTTGGACTCCGCCCGCGAAAAACCGAATCCGGGTA